TCAGAAATTTCCATTTCTCGACATTTTTTTCGAGGACTAGCTATTCCAAAGTGAAATTTGAAGTCCCGACTAAACAGAAGCTGCCACATTCAGGATGTTGCATTGCGTACCAGACGCAACAAGAAAGGTTTATCTTGCCTTGCAAAGCAAATACACAGTAAATGCGCTGCCAGGTTGATTGTGTGGGACAAGGGTCAGTGGTGTAGTGGGTAGAACGTCGCGTCCGAATGGGGGAGTGGTTCGAATTCTCTCCTGGTTCACAGCTTTTTTCGACAATGTGCTCCAATCCTGACATGAATGCCATTACTTTGGAGGACCACTCAAATGGCCGTTTACTTTGTTACGGACACCACTCCCGGTGAAATGAAAATCATGCCCAACCCATACGATTTTACTCTTTCGCGCTGGAATGATATCCCCAGATATGCCGCTCATCTGGCCATCCGACTGCTTATCCGGACTCCGTGGGATGACAGGTACAGGTTGAGGTAAGTGGGGAGAAGGGCAAGGTTGGCTTACACTAGAGAGACTAATAACAGATGGGAAGAAATTGGTAAACCGGCTGAAAAGAAGCTGAGATTTCACTTGAAATTATAAACTGGAGGGAGGGACCAATGAATTGGTGGGGTTGAGAGGGCGGGGAGCGGGAGGGGGGAGCGGGAAATTAGATGCTGAGTGAATGCTAATAAGATGATTGTGTTTGCATTCCAAAACCTCATCGAAAAATCTGCTATTTCTGTACAACTGTGATTATCACAGTTCTCACTCAAACTCAAAAGCGAGTGCATTTTGCGCGACTGAAAGCCACGCATCATAAGTATGCGACGGTGGCTTCCACATTCCAATGTGAAAGAAAACAAAATATTTTATATATGTTTTATTAAGATACAACAATGAGAGAGAAATATGCTGATTTAAAAAACGATTAAAACAATACAATACACCGCCTACAGTGACTTTATGTACACCAAACTAGCACGATCAAGTTGACCAGCCAGCTGGCGATGATGCAGCAAAGGCCATGCAGCAGCAGTAAGAGCAACGCCAAAGATGGGCAAACTGGGTATAAAAATGAAAAATATAAGGATTTTTGGTATTAAGCGCTTTGGGAAGAAGAAACCCATGATGATGCTCACCCAGTACGGCCATGAGCTACATCTCCAGCTCGCTTGGTTGCATGGTCTCCGAAACAGAACTTATAAAAATAGAGCTGAATGCTCATCAATATGCATCTCTTCACTTTAAAAAAAAACCATTAAAAAACGTATT